TTATGTAGCATTAAATTCTAACTATGGCAGTTATGTTTTACTAAGTATAAAATCATAACCTCTTAGAGTTTTTCAAGGTAGTGTGTCTCCACGCTTTCTTGATCTCCTGCCTCAGCAGGTAAAGGGCTCCCCAGAACCATTTAAAAATGTCTGTTCTGTGGCACTAATCACGATACATCACACTTGATTGTTTTCCAAACTTGTTTTACTTGTATTTGACAGTTAGCACTTAGCTTTTAGTAAATGTTCACTTAACCTTTTGAATGAATTAATGAATGAACGAACGACGTGAAGAAAATTAAGGATCATCTAGTCCTTCCACACAACTACTACTGAATGTGAAACAACTCTTCCTGCTGGATTTCATTCTACTGCCTCATTTTATAGCGTGTACTGTGCCTGGGACATAATACATGTGGGACCCAGTAAATACGCGATGAATGAAAATCTACCTCCTTACATTTAATGGGTCTAGTTTTATTGTCTGAACTTACAATAATATACTTAAGTTCTTCTGCCATGTGAGTTATGCTCTCTGATACTGTCATCATTCTCTTTCCAATTATTCAAAAATAGGTCCCACTTCACAGTGTGCTGCAATGCAGTTTGAAAAATTTTTAAAGAATGTTTTAAAAACTCAGTTACTGCCCTGGTCTGTTTTGCTCAGTGGTTAGAGCGTTGGTCCGCAGACCAAAGAGTCACAGGTTCGATTCCCGTCGTGGGCACATACCTCAGTTGTGGTTTGGTCCCTGGCCCTGGTTGGGGTCATGCGGGAGGCAACCAATCCATGTGTCTCTCTCACATTGATCTCTCTCTCTCTCTCTCCCTCTCTTTCTCTCTCAGTCTCTCCTTCCCTCCCGTTCTATCTGAAGATAAATGGAAAAATATCCTGGGGTGAGGATTTAAAAAAAATAAAAACTCAGCTGCATGTACTTGGATGTACTATACACTACTGTGTGTCCTAATGCAGTTATATATCAGTTAAAGTTTCCCATGCACAAGCCCTTTTTTTTTTTGTCCTCACCCGAAGACATTTTTCCATTTTTTGTTCAGATAGAGTGGGAGGGAGAGAGAGAGAGAGAGAAACATCGATGTAAGAGAGACACATCGAGTGGCTGCCACCCACACAAACCAACCAGGGCCAGGGTCAAACTGCAACTGAGGTACGTGCCCTTAGCGGGAACCAAACCCGGGTCTTTCCGGACCGTAGGCCGACACTCTAACTGCTGAGCCAAACTGGCCAGGGCCAAGCCCATTTTTCTTCAAAGTTATTTATTGCCTGTTGATACATTTCTACTGGAGTAATTAAGAATTTTCTTAGTTGCTAAAGTTTTTAAATTGTTTTTTAAATCATTAGTTAAAAATACAAGATAAGTTTAAATTTAATTACTAGTCTATGTTATCAGTTGTTTTCTTTCATATTAATAGTAGGAAAATAAAAGTATTTTGTCATACTTAGTAGCATTATAAGTAACTGGAAAAATTGTAGCATTTATATTAAATACTTTACTTTGTTGTTATTTTAATCACCCTTGATCTGTTAAGACTATCCATCCAGTAATCTTCAGTCTTTATTTCTCCTTAACACAGCTTTGGGGTGCAGCACAATAGTTTTTCAAAAGTAAAATGGGGGAAGGGAGCACCTTTATCAACTCCATGAGAATTTTAATATTCATCCTCTTTCTTCCCCACCCTTAGTCATTTTTGTCCATTACTAGAATATATGAGAATTTTGAGTTTTAGAATTAAACTTATAATTAATGCTTTAAAGGCAGATTGTAATCATCAAGGCAAATGATCGTGGTCACGTGGTGTGTATTTGCACGCACTTTACCATTGGGTCTCCTGCCTCGGCGGATTGTAGCAAGCACGTACTTGGCTGCGCTGGAGTCGAGGCCTTCCCAGAGCATGTTGGTAAAGGTGCTTTCCTTTTCAGAGGGCCAGGCATTTCTGCGTGATTGGTCGACACGATTGGCCGTAGAGTTGCTAGGGGACCCGCAGTGTCCCTTTATAGCAGTTTCACGAATCAGTTTCCAGTTCCCTACTTTTACTGACTTGTCACTTCAGGAAGTTTTTATAAATAAAATTGGAAGGTCATTAACAAATAATAGATATTTAAAATAGAACAGTCCTTACCAACTTTCTGAAACAGAACTCTTAAGGTGCATAAAAATGTAGATAAACAAGTAATAATCCGTTTTGACTGAAGTATGTAATACAGCAATATGATGAAAATACAGAAAACCTAGAGACTGGGATGTGGTAGTGGTCGTACACCAGTGTTTTCTTGAAGTTGTAAAGCCTGGAATTTAGGAAGTAAGATAATATATTTTTAAAGATTCGTTAAAGGTTTAATGTGTTTAATGAATGAAGACCACGGGACTGTCTGCCCGCTGGTTAACAGCGCAGTCCCCGTAGGCGCAGCAGATAGCGGGCCCACGAGTGAGCCCTCCCTTCCTGGGTGAGCGGCCGCCGATCCGGCACCGTCAGGGTGGACCTTCGAGGAGAGCTGTACTGTGGGTAAACCGGAGGTTCAGTACCACTTACATCAGTAATGCCGACTTTGTTATGGCTGTTCTGATGTGTGTTTTTCTTTGAAAGGAACTAGGGAAACGTGGTTAATAAAAATCAACCCATGAGGTTTCATTTTGTTTTTGATGGAAATGTTTCCTCCCATAAAATGTAACGACTATGAATTTGATTGCAGAGGTTATTTACCATAACCAGACCTGTCCCTGAGAGGCCATTTGAAACGGTTCCATTAGAATCCAGGTAGCTAATCAAAAAACATGTTGTGGAACGTTATGAAAAAAGGACTACGAAAGTAAGTTCAGCTCTGGTCTGATATTTTGATATTTCTCCCCAGCCCCCCAAGAAAAGTCAGTAAACGCAGTATAATCTTTTTATTGTCTTTGCAGCCCATGTTTATGACTAATTTAAGGTTCACAGGTGAACTACTTTATTATGAGGTTTGTCAGAAGCCAGTGCCTGCTTGCATAGGAGGCAAAGCAGGTCTGACTTTACTAAAAAGTGTTCTCATATCCAGTTGTTTTCGAGTATTGAGGTATTCGAGTATTTTTATCTGAATAAGGACAGTCAGATAATTTAAAAAATTGTCAAACAGGACCTTTAGAGTCTTAGTACCTTATGCATATGAGATTCATGAATACATTTGTACATGTTTTATGTATAAATAGAATAATTTAAGAAATATTTATTGAACACCTACTGCTTGGCAGGCCGTGTTCTAGGTACTGGAAATTCACCCTTTAAAACAGATGAAGTTCCTACTCTCCCAAGAGGACAGTATCTTGGCCTTATACTCTAGCGCAGTGATAATGTGTACTTGCTTTCCGGCTGAAAGAAGAGCATGCTCTCTCAGGGTGCCCACCAGTACGTGGTAGAGGTCTGCCTTGGAGGATTGACGGCTGATGGGAAGCTGGTACCCCTGCAGTTGCGAGCGCCCAGACGCTCACTCTCAGAAGGTGCCTCGTGATTTTCCTAGCTTGCTCTCGTGTTCATTCCAGCTTGAAGCCCTTTCGAATGTGCGTGCTCAGTGTCCCAGCCTGCCCTCTCCTCCAGCTCCGCCTGCCTTCCCTGTGGACCAGTGTGTCTGCTCGTGTGCAAGTGTGTGCACTCTGTGCAGCTGGACTTGAAACTCCTCGGGGGTCGCGCAGTGACGTTTAGCACATGCTGTATACGCAGTAGTTATTTGGTGTCGGTATTTGTGGACTACGACAACTGTCCTAAAATTGCTTAAAATCTTAGCAACTTTTTTCAAAATAAAAAGTGCTCTACATTGAATTTTAAAAGATGCCTTGCATTTCTTGAAGATTTGTCTTCGAGGGTTAGAGGCAAGACCACTTTGTGTATATAATTTTCTGTTTTCAAAAATTGTACAGATTATGCTAATATGAAACTTCTTGATAGGTCTCCTGTGCTTATTAAAGTTATTTTTCATGTTCATGAGCCCTACAGCCATCAGCGGTAGGGGTGGGGTCATCCTTTCTAATGAGGCAAAATAATATGGCTATGTGTAACTTTTTTGTTTTTATTGAAGGGATTAGGGGCCCTTTTTCTTTGTTGTAACTCTTCCTCCCACCTCCCTCCCCTCCCCAAAAAGTTAAAGCTAGATTTAATCATTTCTATTATGATTTCTTTTTTTTCCTGTATAACTGACTATCAGAATTCACAGGCAGGGAGTCAGTGGAAGTTCCATGTTGTCAGAGGCCGGTGTTCTCTCTCCCGAAAGCCCCCACTCTAGACAGCTCTCAGTAGTGTGGCTTCCCCGAGCCCCAGGGGCTCCCCTGGGGCAGCCGCCCTCGGCGGGCGGGCGGCGGTCTCCAGCCGGAGAGGAGAGCGAGCCGTATGGATCACAAACTGAAGCACTGCCCGGCTTCATTCGTGGTTATAATTCCGTTCAGTCCTGCTCCTCGGCCTTGCACGGGGACTGAGTCTGGGATCCCGGCATCTCATTTAAGTTAAGTTTGAAGAATTATAATTTTTAATGAATTAAATGAAGTGGACTCTATAAGAGCAGATACAATGATCAAGTAATTAGTTGAAAACCCTTGAAAAAGGAAATTCTCATTTTAGACTTTTGTTTTTCACGAGTGGCAAACTTTAAAAATCTGGTATGCCAAATATACTTTTGTAGATTCCAGTATTGTTTTTGAATGAAAGAGGTGATAGATAAATGGATGAATGTTATTATAAGTACCTGAATTATTTGTGTTTCTATAAGTTCCAGTGTAAGAATATTCGTTAATATCTTTGTATCCCAACCTAAGTGCGATGTTCCCCTTGCAAGCCTAGATTCTTCCTGCTTGTATGCCCTTTCCTTATATACGGTTGACTGTGCATAGTGCAGTTATTTCAATACTTCTGATAGAATCAAGGATTTAAAAATGATAAATCTTAAGGAAATCTGGTTGTAAAATAACTAACTCGGTTGACATGTGAGAACAGACATTTGCTGACCTTTTTGTCAACCCCGGCAGGTTTTGGGTCCTGCTCCCAGGTGGTGTTCCTTCTTAGACAACTTGACAGAAGAATTGGAAGAGAATCCAGAAAGCACGGTTTACGACGACTACAAATTTGTCACCAAGAAAGACCTTGAGAATTTAGGTAAAAAAAATAAGTTAGGATAACATGATTATAAAATTGTGTTATTTCTACTGGTTGTGGTGTGGGCGAGGAGATTTGAACATTTTAGTGGTGGAGGCACGTTTATCTGCTTCTCCGGATCTTCACCTTCTGCCAAGTCAGACATTAGGCACAGTCTACATTGTCAGTTTGGTAGTCTGTGCTTAGAGAAGGGTTCGGATGAGTTTAGCCTACTGAAGCTTTTTTGCATCTTAAATAAGGAATACTTTTTTCTAGCATACTATCTATTTATAGAAAAAATATCTGTCAAGCCCTGGCCGGTTTGGCTCAGTGGTAGAACGTCAGCCTGCGGTCCAGAGAGACCCAGGTTCGGTTTCCACTGGGGGCACGTACCTCAATTGCAGTTTGTCCCCGGCCCTGGTTGGGTCATGCAGGTGGCAGCCACTCGATGTGTCCCTTTCACGTCGATGTTTCTCTCTCTCTCTTCCTCGCTCTCCCTCCAACTCTATCTGAACAAGAAATGGAAAAAATGTCCTTGGGTGAGGATAAAAAAAAATCTGTCAAGAAAGCAGTGATTTATTTTTCCAGTGCTGTTTGATAATCAGGATTTTAAACATCTTAGAGACTGCAAGTAAATGATTTCTGGCTCCCTGTTGGGTCTGCTTTTATTTATTTAATTTATTGCATTTATCTTCAGATAGAGTGGGAGGGAGAGAGGGGTGAGAGAGAGAAAGAAACATCGATGTGAGAGAGACACACCCACTAGTTGCCACCCACACGACCCCAGCCGGGGCCGGGGACAAAGTACAACCAAGGTACATGCTCCTAGCGGGAACCGAACCCAGGACTCTCTGGTCCGTGGGACGACGCTCTAACCGCTAAGCAAAACTGTCCAGGGCTAGGTCTGCTTCTAAAAAAGACCTGACCCAGCCCTGGCCAGTTTGCCTTAGCAGTTAGAGCATTGGCCCAAAGGGTTTCAGGTTTGATTCCTGGTCAAGGGTACGGATCTCAGTTGCAGATTCGATCCCTGGCCGTGGTCAGGGTCAGGTTGGAGGCAACCTATTGATGTGTCTCTCACATCAGTGTTTCTCCTCCCTCTCTCCCCCCTCCCCCTCCCTCCCTCCCTCCCTCCCTTCGTCCCTCCTTCCCAGTCTATCTAAAAATCAATGGAAGTATATTCTTGGGTGAGGATTCAAAAAAAGACCTGACCCAAACTTGGAATCATAGATTGACTTCTCAAATATGGAGAATCTTAATAGGTACTTTAGGGTTAAAGAATACAAACCAAGAAATGCCTCTTAATAACATTCAGCACTTAAATAGGGCTTACATGTGCCAGGCAGTATTTCCTCATTTAATCCTCATAGCTCTGTGAACTGGATACTATTGTGATTTTTTTTTTATTCCTCTCCCGAGGATATTTTTCCATTGATTTTTGGATAGAGTGGTAGAGAGGGAGAGAGAGAGAGAAACATCGATGTGAGAGAGACACATTCATTGGTTGCCTCCCACACAACCCCAACCAGGGCTGGGGTCGAACAACTTGCAACCGAGGCCCGTACCCTTGACCGGGAATTAAACCTGAGACTTTGGTCCACTGGCTGACAGTCTAACCACTGAGCCAAACTGACCAGGACATGATTCCATTTTATAGATAGCAAAACTGAGGCACAAAAAGATTAAGTTGCCAAAGGCTTCCATGGTAGTAAATGTGAGAACTGGAATTCAAAGCTCGAGTCCATGCTGTGACCGCAGCCACACCACCCTCTGAGAAGAACATACTCGTCCAGCACTGGTTCGTAGGAGCAAGAGAGGCTTGCTCATCTTGTTAATGGGGAAGGCGGCACCGCACATTACCGGGACTGGGGAAAGGTCGAGGACCCCTTCCCCACAGCGAGGAGCTTCGTTGACTTTGGAACAAGCAGATGTGCAACAGCAGTTGAATGTTAAAAAGAAGATAGAATCGCCCTGGCCGGTTTGACTCAGCGGTTAGGGCGTCATCCTGCGGTCCAGAGAGACCCGGGTTCGGTTCCCGCTAAGGGCATGTACCCCGGTTGCAGTTTGTCCCCGGCCCTGGCTGGAGTTGTACAGGTGGCAGCCACTTGATGTGTCCCTTTCACGTCAATGTTTCTCTCTCTCTCTCTCTCTCTCTCTTCCTCTCTCTCCCTCCTACTCTAACTGAACAAAAAAATGGAAAAATGTCCTCGGGTGAGGATTTAAAAAAAAAAGAAAAAAAAAGACAGAATCGTGTAAAAAATAGATTGTCTCTTAAACTTTATTTTTGTTCTATATCTCATAGCACAGTTAAACCAGGCAGAATTTTTTCTACTAGTTACCATCAAAATAGCTCTTTGAATTTGTTTTTCTTTTGTAAGGAAAATTTGTGGTGGAAATCTCTTCAGACTATACCAGAGAATGAGAACAATTATGCTTTATCACAGTGTGACTGAAATTGCTGAAAGTGATGTATCCTCCCAAACGACAGGGTTTCCCCAGCCAGTGGCACACTCAGCTGGTGCTTATCAGAGAGGAGCCTTAAGTAAATAAACCCAGCGGGGAGGAACTGGCGAACGCGTAAACATTAGGAATCCCACAAGAGTAAAGAAAGAAAAATAGGCATTTCCCCCCAAATTTCCAAAGGGGCCAAATTAAAAGGAAAAAGGCTAATTGTTGGAATTTAGGTACATTTAAATTTTTTCGTATGTAAAAAAAATATTTTATATTGAAAGGCCAACTGTAGATTACCAGAGTCATTGCATCAAAAAGGAAAATAGATTTCTCTCTCTTCTTTTTTTAATTCCTTTTTGTTTGTTTGCTTGTTTCCTAATGCCTCATGCGAATTTATAAGAAAACAGTTAACTAATAGCTTTTTAAAAAGAAAAGAATCGCATTCGGCCCTTTAGGAAGTGACGAGTGAGTGAAACCGGGTGGAGCAGGCTCTTCCTGCTGAGGGCCTCCCTCGGGGTCTCGGCAGCATCTTTACGGTGGGCTGTGTTCCGCTCCCCTGCGTTCCTACCTGGGACAGTTCTGGGACAGTTACACTACGGCGTTCAGGACACTTTGGCTGCTTTTTCCGTTTCTTCACTATGTTTATTTTAGGTCAGAAAGGCAGTCAAAAAGGTTTAGATACACGTTATTGGTGTAATCATACTGCCTATTTTTAAAACTGTGAAAATAAATATATTCAACAAAATATGTTATACTAGAAATCTTTTCATGTACATTTTTAATATATTTTCATATTAAACGAGCTATTGGTTATTATTTTTTAACAGATTTTACCATTATATATAAAACCCTTTATTTATTTTGTTAATCCTCGCCTGAGGATATTTTTCCATAGATTTTTAGATAGAATGGAAGGGAAGGAGAGAGAGAGAGAAACATCGATGTGAGACACATGTATTGGTTGCCTCCCACATGACCCCCACTGGGGCTGGGGATCAAACCTGCAACCAAGGTATGTGTCCTTGACCCGGAAGCAAACCCTCGACCCTTAGGTCTGCAGGCTGATGCTCTAACCGCTGAACAAAACACCAGGGCATATATAAAACCTTTTAAATAATGTATATTAAAAGTAGAAGTAAGGCTTTGTAACTAAGTTCTCTTATTTCTTAAGATTATTAGTATTAAACACTTACAAGTTCTGACTTCTCCGATCTATGCCCTTTAGCAGATCCTATAACATGGTATTTCCCCAAACGTGTCTCGTGGGATACTGTGTCCGCAGGAAGTGCTGGATGGAGAGCACAGCGGCCAGTGTCCTGAGCCCTGGAAACAGCCTGCTCCGGGCCACATCCCACCTAACACATCGGTCTCGGTGTGCCTGGCTTCGTCACCTATAAATGGAAGGACAGTGGCACCGCCCACAGGCTGCTTGGCCACTGAAGCAGCTAATGCCTGCAGAGCGCCCAGCATCTAAGCACACTGGGCGCGTGTGGGTCACTGTTGTCAGAGATTCCCTCTGACCTGCCCTCTTCTGATTGCCTCCTCAGGGCTCACACATCTCATCGGATCGCCTTTTCTCCGGGCGTATATGCATGGATATTTCATGGACATAAGACTGTATCACAAGGTAAATACAAAAGTGCCATTACTTTTAGGTGGCTGATGAGCAATCTGCAGCCATTTCTTCTCTACTGACTTGCATTTTTATAAAACATACTTATAATTTGTAAGAGATCTACCTGTTCTCTGACATAGTCATGACGTATACAAAATGTGCTGCTAAATACAATTGTTTTATTAAAACAAATTTTTTTTTACTCTGAAAAGGTGAAATTGATGGTAAATCCATTTGCTTATGAAGAATATAGGAAAGACAAGATCCGACAGAAGATCGAAGAAACACGGGCGCAGAGAGTCCAGCTGAAGGTAAACAGTGTGCTCACCATTGAAGGAGTTGGACAAACGTACTTAGGTTTCATTGTGCTGCTATTCAAAAAAACCCTGACATCCATTTCTGATTTTTTTCATCTTTTGCTAATATGTTTAGTATATTGTATTTGTCTTGAGGGTGGATGTGCTGCAGTTTTATCAGTATGGACTCTGGCAATGGTATCATGGGAAATAACGCCAGGTGGACTGATACTGTCGGCCCTGCTGATAAAATCCAGCGGCGTTCCCAGTGGGCATTCGGATCTGGAGTGCTGGGCCTTTGCTGATCTCCACTTCTTACTGACATTAGGCTGAATCTTGCTAGCTGTTTGGATCACAGGATAAGACGTTAGACTATGTCAGAGTCCAGACAGCAGTCAGATCGCACTCGTTATATTAATAGAGAGAATTTAATGTAAAGAATGATTAACCAGAAAAGACTCACACACTAGGTATTGATATGAGAGGAGTGGCTGCAGGAGGGGCTGCTTATGGAGCTGACGCTGCAGGGCTGGCAGCAGACCTCTGAGGGCAGCTGCTGGGGCTGAGGTCCCCGAGGATGCTCCTGGGAGCGTCAGAAAACCACAGACGAATGCCTCGCTCTCCTGAACCGCCTGTTGTGCCAGGGTAGACGTGTCCTGTGATGCCGACCCAGCCCAAGCACACGGGGACGAGCACGCCTGTCCACCCCCTGCCTTCCAGCCTTCCGGCAGCCCTCTTGACGAAGGTGGCCCAGCACATGACACTCATGTCTGACTGGACGCTGGTTACGAAATACACGGAAGACTGCTTCTTCCTTTCTCGGGGTTATTTTTGCCAGTGTTGAAGGGTCAAGGATGTGTGTGCAGTGGCAAGGGGAGCCCGGGATGGGCACTGTGTTCAGGTCTTGCTCTAACCTTGGAAGCTAACACATAGGTGTTTTAACACAGCTTGTGTTTCCCCTTTGCTAGAAATTGCCCAAAGTTAACAAAGAGCTGGCACTGAAACTGATCGAGGAGGAGGAGGACAGGCAGAAATCCACGTGGAAAAAGAAGGTTAAGGTAAAGTTTTATAAGGCAGAGAAAATATTTATAAATTGCTTCTACATTTTCTTGATAGTAACTTAAAGATTTTTTTTTATTTATACTTTAAAAATACATTTAATTTTTTCCCCTGCTTATAAGATAGTATATATTCAATATGGGAAATTTGTAAAATAAAAAAGAATATAAGAGTCACCCATATAATTCTTCCCAGAGGAAAGCATCATTAATATTAGTGAATTTCTTTTCTGTCTTATTTCTCTTAATAAACGGTATTAGCAAGATACTGTTGGATATACAACATCTTTATCCTGGCCCTAAAATAACAAGTGGCTTCCCGTTTTATTAAAATTTCTTTGAGAGCTGCATGTTCTGTGTTGTGGATGTATTATAATTAATCTTTTTATTGTTAAATTATTAGATTGTTGATTTTTTTGTACGAGCTAGGTTTGTTTATAATTGCAGAAGTAACCAATTTTTATTTAGACTTGGCATATTGGGAGTGTACACATGCTTACATTGAACTGTGTCCACCTTCCTTCGCTAATGTGAAAATAGACAAAGACCAGTCGTGAAACTGAGTGCTTCAGTTAGCTGATATTGTCAAGACGAGGCTTTTCTAATTTCCCAGCCATATGAAGACGTCCGCCCCGTGCTCGTTGCGCATCTCTCTAGACCAGGCAGCAGGTCCCGAGCTTGCTTGTTCCCGGGCCTCGTGAAGGTCGCCCTCTCCGCGGCAGCCTGCAGGGCCTGAGTCTGCGCGGAGGGCCCGGCCATGTCATTTTGGGCAACTGTGTTGAGCGCTCAGGTTTTTGTGTTTGTTCTTTCTCTGTTCTCTCTCTACTTTTTAACCAGCTAAGTGAACATGAGATAAGGGAGCTCTTCGTATGTTTATTTTTGCTCCACTTTCATTGGCGACACCGAGGAGCTGCCACAAAATGGATTGGTTCTGGTCCCCTTGTTACTAGTTGTGTCATTGCCAGTGACCTTCAGCTTCATTGGGTCTTGTGTTTTTCTTTTATAACGTGCAAGGAGAGGACCAGCGAGGGGCATTCTTGGTGCTGTGATTTCTAAATGGATGTACATTTGCTGTTCCCTCAACTTTATCCTTTCTGCAACCTGTCCTCCTGGTCAGTTATGTTCTTCTGATGTAGTAGTAGAATCTTAACTTTTAGAAGTTTCCTTAAGTAAATATATAGGTGCCTTTTACATTTCCATTTTCATCACGTGAGTAACATACATGCTGAGACCATTACTTACCTGTGGTCATGGCTGTGCACCTTCCCGACTGGCCATGCGGTAAACGTGTGCATGTATCTTAACGTGCTTCCACCGTAGTGCCTCCTGCGGTGTGGCTTCTCCTCGGAGGCTCACACTGACTCCCTTCTAGCCCAGCCTGAGGACGATCAGGGAGCCAGCTTTCTGGCGCCAGTGTCCCAGCTAGGTAAAGTGGTCTTTGGATTCACGTGCCCGGGAGCTTCATGGGAGCTGCTTCAGGCTGCAGGTGTAGGGTTCCTAGCTGTGGTTTATGCTTGAGTCCTTGTCATCACATCTAATGTTATAGAGGGTAGGACACTTGAATGAAAGGTTAATATTGATACTTTGTGCAGCTATCACAGCTCAGGAGCCTTTCTAAAGGCCCTTATGATTATGAATATGTGGGGAAGTTCCCCCCCCCCCACTCCCCACCTTTCTGTCGCAGACTTTTGCCGAGGTTGGAGCAGCCCTAGGATTTATAACAGGAGGCTTGTCCTCACCGTGCATGAGTGCATGGGGGCAGGAAACAAGTGGGGTGATCCGGGGAAGTCATGATTGCCTGTGCGTTTCACATTTTTTGTCAGAACATTAATAGGATCATCCTGCAAGAAGCACCAGGCTCTGTGCTGTTTTCCTGCAAGAGGATGAACCTTAGAAATTCTTACCTTCCTTCATCAAACAGCTGCTTCTCTCCAGCATCTGGAAGCTGAGGGTGCTGTCTTTGGGGCTGTCCCCTGACTGAATTCTGCTGGAGAGTGAGTTTTGTAGTGAGCCCCTAGTTTGCCTTTTGGTGGCCCCGTTGTCAGAGCTGTTTGTTTTCAGAAATACGTAAATATTGCCTTCTACAAACCCGAGGTTGCTATCAAACAAAGTTTGTATGATCTGTTGTTTAACAATGTTATCTAATTAATGAAGACCTTAAAAACCATTCCTGAATTAAGGAAAGAGTCCTTCATTATAATTATAAAAAATACTTGAAAGTATTGTTAAATCCATCAGCAGTTCATTAGTCTTGCCTTTGAACTCGACTCTTCAAACCTTCAAGAGCTTCAATAGCTCTGATAACTCCTGACTTGAAAATCAGTGGGGTGCAGTTATGTTCTGCTTTGGCTGCAACCAAAATTTCACGGAGGTAGACAGTGAAATATGTTCCCAAATGTGCTACCACTGATAATGTCAAGTCCAGTGAGAGGTTTACCGTCAGTTGATGTGGGATCTGCAGTGACAAGTGACCCACCGCATAATGTCAAGAAGCATCATCTGGACTTTATCCCAACTTGGAGTGTGGTGGCTTTAGTTCTGGTTAAAAGGGACCCATCTGTCCCATCTGCCTTGAGCACTCAGAGCACAAGCAGCTGGGACGGACAGCGTCCGTAGCCCATTTTTTTGGTAAGAGTTTGAGCTTGGTTAGAACCATTTTTTCTTACAAGTATAATTTTCTGCCTGTTGGCCTTTTCTGCCAGTATTTTGCTATTGCCTTTAAGTCCATGTGAACATACTTCTCTTGGATCTGCAGCAGCTCAGCCAGGGATTGTCATGCGTGATTTCTCCAGGCCATGTGAGAGGTGTCTTCCCAGCCGGGGGGTTGTTCTGTGCCATCACAGTCATCTGTCTAGGGAAAGGTGTGATTATGTGACACTGGGTTCCATCAGGTCAATTCTGACATCCAAAGTGTTATTTTTTCAAAGGTGTTTTTAGTACCAATTAAAATTGTTTTTGTTTTTGATTATAGCAGTGCACACACAGGTTCAAAAACTAGATGTTTCTCCAAGGTTTGTCAGGAATGTTATCTATCCCTCTTTTCCCTCCTCCCCCCTTCATTTTCCCTCCCCCATATTTACCTCTCCTGAGATAAATCCTTTTGCCTTTTTAGTTGATTATTTTGGTATCAAACTGTATCTCTAAATAGTGCTGCTTCTTGACTGTTAAATGTCAGGCATTGTCTTCTCAAACCTTCCCTCCCGGTGACGTTCTGCTGTAACTCCAGGTAAGTCCCTGTCGGCATCTCGTGGCTGGGACTGCAGACGGTCTGACAGCCCGACAGCCACGCCCTCACCTTCCCAGGACTCGTAGCTGACTTTCTGTTTGTCTTCTCTCTGGTCGGCACGACTCGGCCCTCAATCCTTGGCCCGTCGTCTGCATTGCACCCCAGGTGTTCATGTGCAGGTAGCGCTAGAGTCGTCGTCTGCGGGGGCCTGAGCCGCTTTCCGCGCTGCTCCGCCTGGCCGGGCGTCCTGGGGACTGCTCCCCGCAGCCCCGTGGGTGCCGAATGTCAGGGACCTCGGTGTCCAATCCAGACACGGCGGGCGCTGTGAGGGGAGAGTGAAGAGATTGTCACACCTGCACGTTCGGAACAACAAGTGACCGTCACATGCTGCTTTTCCCCAGGAAGTTCCTTGGGTTTTCTTCCCAGAATAGGGGCGAGGCAGGAAAGAGAAGGGTCCGAGGAAGTCCCTGTGGGCGGCTCTGTGCCTCGAGGCAGTGCTGGCCCCTTGGCCGGCCCTTCCAACCCAGAAACGTGGGTTCTTCAGCTGGGAAATGTTCTTGGGGAAAAGTCGAAGTGGTTTCTCTCTGCTGTGACCCGTGGTCATGTGTTCGTATCTAAGAGTGAAGGGTTTACAGAGCTGAATGGAAACGTCCCGGCGGTGGCCGGGCTCATGGTCGCCGTGGTGGCCCGACCGCGCTGTTTATTTGGGGAAGCTCCAGAGAGCACCTCTTTTGGCCTTGCTCTCGGTCAGATCCTGAGAAGGATGAGGGTCGAGGGCCGCAGGGAGCAGCGGCCGCACCTGTCCGCGGGTGCTTCCCTGCCTCCCTCCGGGGAAGAAGCCTCTGTTCGGAGAGCCAGGCACTAGGCTTCCCTCTTGCTTCCAGAATCTTACTGCTCCTGCTCCCTTTTCTGGCCTCTTCATCTCAAGGGTTTGTGACTTCTGAAAGCCCCGTGTGTTGTTCTAGTGGCTCCGGTTTAGCAGAGGTGACGCTTGTGTTCCAGCCACCTCCTTACCAGAGGTCTGCATCACCTTCACTTCCCAGCTAACACGGCATTGTAAGAGTTCATTTGTTTTATTATTATTTTTTTTTATCCTTACCGGAGGACATTTTCCCATTTTTTGTTCAGGTAGAGTGGGAGGGAGAGAGAGGAACAGAGAGAGACATCGATGTGAAAGGGACACATCGAGTGGCTGCCACCCGCACAACCGACCAGGGCCGGGGACAAACTGCAACCGAGGTACATGCCCTTAGCGGGAACCGAACCTGGGTCTCTCTGGACCGCAGGCCGACGCTCTAACCGCTGAGCCAAACCGGCCAGGGCAAGAGTTAATTTGTTTTAAATGTCAAACATTCCTCATATGTGTTACTATGTTAGGAAAAATATTAATGAACATCCTACTCAGATCTACAGATATAGGTCTTTGAGGTAGGGCTGTGATATAAACAATACTTCAGGATGTTTTCCATATTTGAGTGGCAAGTGTTCAGCACATATACATGAGTATTTATAGGGCAAGATCACCAGCCAGACACTTGTAAAATACTGCAGAACATCCATCACTAACTACATCTTATCCTACTTAAAAAAAAAAGACAGCTGTGAAAACAAACAATTAGATTAGGGAAAATCTCGGGGGAAATATTTTTACAGCTGGGTCAGAAGAGTTTTTATTTTATAATTGTTCTCCCAACTCAAACTTGTCTTTAGGCAAAGCAATTTATTTGTTTAAAGTGAGAAAAAAAATCTTAAGAGTACTAGCAACATGTTCTTTTAAACATGTTTCTCTGTTATTTATTAAATATCGTTATTTGATAAATAACAGTAAGATGAAAGGGAAAACATTTTCCTTGGGTTCTGTTTATTTTTTTACCTGAAAATATGTAATCAGTTAAGAGCTGTTCGTTTGAAAATGTTTGGATCTTTGACAACATCACCTATCCTGTATTTACACATAACTCCAAAATTAGACAGTTCAGCTCCTTCCCCTCGGCCTGAGACCTGATGCTGCGTCCCAGGCACCTAATGGTGTCCATCAGAATCCGGGCAGCATGCATGAGTCATCGCCATTGACTTAACCAGTCTTAAATGGAACTAATTTCTTTTTTGTTTGTTAATTTTTCTCATTCACTGGATTTTTTTTTTTAAGACTTAATATTTTTAGAGGAGTTTTAGGGTCATAGCAAAATTGAGGGGAAGGTCCAATGATTTCCCATGCACCCCTGTTCCCACACATGCAGAGCCCCCCACTTTCCACATCCTCCACCGGGGCATGCATTTATTAAAATTGGTGAACCTGCATTGATGTAGTGTCACCCAAAGTCTGTAGCTTACATCAGGGTTCATTCTTGGTGGTGTACATTCTACAGGTGTGGACAGATGCCTGATGACAGGTGTCCACCACTGCAGTCTCATACAGAGTAGTTTTACTGCCCTGAAATCCTCTCTGCTTCGCCTGTTCATACCACCCCCACCCCCACCCCCAGCCTTTGGCAACACTGATGTTTTTACTGTCTCCAGAGTGTTACCTTTTCCTTTGTGTCGTAGAGTAGGAAAGGCACAGTGTGCAGCCTTTCCAGACTGGCTTCTCTCACTGCGCCCTGTGCATGTCAGGCTCTGCCTTGTCTTTTCCTGGCCTGGTAGCTCATTCTTTGTAGCACTAAGCCGTGTCGCATGCACCAGTTCATGCATCTCCTCACTCGCTAGAGGACAGCTTGGCTTCTTAGAATACAGCTTTTGCCTTTCATTTCACCTGCGCCTCTTTTTCTGATGGCGCCTAAGTCGTGGTGTCATGAACTCTAAGACAGGTTTTCCCATTCTTAGGTTCCCCTTGCCCTCATTCAGGCCCTGTCTCTCCCCTGTTTCCTCAAGGGGCCGCTTAGTCTTCCTCGTGAGTCTGGCTTCTCCCTCAGCCCTCCAGCACACGCCCGCTGCTGCGGACTCGGGGCGCATCCCTGATCGTCTGCGTCTTGAAGCGCACTCCTGCCTGTCATCTCGTCCTCCCTGTGCAGTCTGATCCGATCAAAAATACTTCTTCAGGTTTTGCCATTATTCCTCAGAGTTCTGTCTCTTGAAACCTGCTCAACTCTTAAGCCTGCCCCCAGATTCCACATCCCTGTGAACCCTTCTGAGATGTCTCTTGTTAAGATTAATTTCTACCTCTGCCCCCAGAGCCCATTCACCTGTTTGCCCCTTCATCAGGTACCTTGGAGCACACAGCTTTTCTTCCTCGTGTGTTGTGAGTGGGCCCCTGAGGATCAGGGACTAGATCGTACCTGTGTTTGTTTCTTCCTTGAACCTAAACCTGTCTTGGAAATTATATTTAATCATTGTTTGATATGTCTTGAATATACATTCAATATATCAGAATTTTAGGTGAGTGTTTATCAGATTCTAAGTACGTACAAGTAATGAACAACCCAAGTTCCTTAATGTCTCATGATTTAACAGTTTTGTGTGTGTGTGTGCACAAGTACACTATTCAGAACTCAACTACCGACAATCTTATTTACTCTCAATAGTGTAGAAACAGTCAGTAAAATAAAGTCCATCCATTACAGCTAGAGTCCCCCACAAACAGGTCAGCCTTTCAGCCTGTGTTCAGACTGTTTATGTTACAAACCACAGTAAGTAGGTTGACTCACCAGGTCTCCAAGCCCATGGCAGATAAGGACAGTACGAAAACCCCGAGGAATGAGAGGGTCATCTGATCACATGAATATACAGGTTTGCGATACATTCTAGTCAACTCTCTGTTCAGAGATGGTGCAGATCCAGAGGAATTTAGGGTCAGTCCTGAGCTCTCCAGATTTGTCTCAACAGCTAAGTTTTACTACGTCACAGTGACAGAGTCTGGCACTGCGTCTGTGAGAACAATTAAATGGCCGAGGGAAAACTGGTGAGGGATGGAAATATTCCTGTTTCCTAGTAACTCAACTGGAGTCAGTCCCCTCACACCACCAGCTCCCCCAGGTTAATCCTCGACTGTTGTCAGTGTACACTTCCTCTCCCAGTTTTGGAATGAGAAGTTGAAAGACTTGTTTTAATTCAGTAGAGTAGCTATACTTAAAAAGCCATGTTTCAGAAAGATGAATTTCCTCAAAAAGTGATTAGCATTAAAATGTTATTGAAGAAAATTCTTTCTAATGTTTTAAGCATAGCCCAGCCAGAGTGGCTCAGTTGGTTGAGCGTTGTCCTGTGCACCCAAAGGTTGCCGGTTCAGTTACTGGTCAGGTCACATACCTGGGTTATGGGTTTGATCCCCACTTGGGGAGCATGCGGAAGGCAGCTGATTGATGTTTCTCCCTCACATCGATATCTGTCTCTCTCTCTCTTCCCTTCTCTCCTCTCTCTAAACATGTCCTCAGGTGAGGATTTTAAAAAATAAAGTGTCTCAGCTTTTAAGATATTAAACATAAAAAAGGCAAGTCAGAAAGGCTTGCTCTTACCTCATTATGTGTAATGGCCAAGTAATGCGTATCATTTATGAACGAATTAATAGAGTTTGTTTGTGGGCAGGAGATAGAACTAGGGCAATTAGAAAGTCCTGAAAACATTTCACAATAATGTGATGTTATGCCCTTGTGCAGTTTATTAATTTAGAATTGAAGGAAATATTTTAAAGCTGTCCTTCTTGTTCGACTTTATTCGGAGATTAACTTCCAGTGTTTGCATTCTTTCCACAGAGCCTTCCCAACATTCTGACCGACGACCGGTTCAAAGTTATGTTTGAGAACCCCGACTTCCAAGTAGATGAAGAGAGTGAAGAGTTTAGGCTTTTGAATCCACTTGTTTCAAGAATTAGTGAAAAAAGGAAGAAGAAACTACGACTCTTGGAGCAGCAGGAGCATCGTGGAAACGTAACGTGCTGTGTGCTGCGCAGCGGGCTGCTGCCCCAGGGTGGCGTGGCTGTGCGGGTGGGAAGCGCCTGCGGAGAGCCGGTGTGACCGCCTGGCCTTCGGGGCGTCTTCAGTCCCGGGCGCTTTCCCCGACGCACGCGATGTCACGTACTCTGAGGGCTCAGGCTGTTTAAGAAAACAGTGGGTCGGCGTTCGGTTGGGGAAAGGAGCTGCTTCTGACTATTTTTATTTTCAGGAAGAGGAGGAAGAACCGGAAGGAAAGCCAAGCGATGCGGAAAGTTCTGAGAGCTCCGACGATGAGAAAGGCTGGGTTGAAGAGGTCAGGAAGCAGCGCAGGCTCCTGCAGCAGGAGGAAAGAGCGCAGCGGCAGGAGCGGCGCAGGGAGGACCAGCAGACGGTCCTCAAGCCCCAGTTTTATGAGATCAAAGCAGGCGAAGAATTCAGGAGCTTCAAAGATTCTGCCTCCAAGCAGAAGCTGATGAAGTGAGTGCACTGCCGGGCCCTGCTGCTCCTGGGGCACGGTGCCTAAGCCTGCATCCAGTCTGGGAGTTCACGTGAGGGAAGCACACTGGTCTCTCGTGACTCTTCGTAACCCCTCCTCGAGGTCTAGTTTGCACACAGTAAGGTGCAGGGTGTAGCCTGCGTGTTGGTCAATGTGTGTTCGGCTTGTCCTGGTTTATCTGCAGGTCCCCTAACTGCAGACACTGTCTTATTCTGTGCCCTACAGGTCATTACTTAGTCTTGTGTACAGTGGCAATTGAAGTAACATTCTTTGCCTCTTAACAAGTTATATTTTTAAATGAGAATTTCAGTTACATCTACCCCTATCTCAGTTTACCAGATTATTGAAAAGGTCACTTGGAAAATTTGCCAGAAAGGTTAAGCCTGCGGGAGAATTGGAGGTGAGGAAAGTGGTGTCCCGGAGCAGCGGGCACATGGACGCGGCGCTGGAAGTCGTATGGGAACGTTTGCTTAGCCTTTCGAGAAGCGGCCAGACCGCCTTCCCGAGAGGCTGCTCCGCTTACCGCCCCCCAGCCGCGCGTGCAGCCCGCAGCCGCTTCCTACGGGGCGGTCACTCTTCCGTGTTTCCGTCGGGCCCCTGGCAGCGTGCCTCTGGCGTTCGGGTCCTGTGGAGTGAGTCCCGTGGTAGACACCTGCTGCTCCTGTCGGCTTCGTTGACTTCCTCCCTAGTCCTGGCCCAGTACCTGGGCGAGCGCCGACACAGGAGCGCTCTGTGAAAGCGGCGTCTGCGGTGGCCACACGCCCGCCGACTCGAAGTGCCCTGCTCAAGGTTTACTGAAAAAACCCATTTACCCCCAACCCACTGACTGGGAAAATGTGGGAGCAGTTGTTTGTAGTGTAACCATGGTAACAGGAGGCCATAGTTTTGGGGTGGGAGACTAATCTCACGGACATTCTTTTTCTGCCTGGGGGTTCAGCAGGATATAATGTAAAAAACAAAAGGGATGAGCCCTGACCAGTTTGGCTCAGTGGTTAGAGCGTTGGCCTGTAGTCCAGAGAGACCTGGGTTGGTCGTGCAGGTGGCAGCCACTCGATGTGTCCCTTTCACATCGATGTTTCTCTCTCTCTCTCTCTCTCTCCTTCCTCTCTCTCCCTCCCACTCTATCTGAACAAAAAATGGGAAAATGTCCTCAGGTGAGGATATAAAAAAAAAAACAACAACAAAGGGGATGAACATATATTATTTGTAAATAAATAATAGCTAAGTTAATATGCTGCACTTAAACTTCTGAGTTAAACATCATGGATTAAACATTCTTTAGAAGAGGAGCTATATAAGTAATATACTTATACTAAGTATATACTTGTATGAGCTTAGAACAAAAATACTGTTGTTCAATAACCCTTTACTATGGAGAGCCTGCAGTTTGCTGGCGTTTTGGCACAAACTGCTTATTGAATTTATCTTGACTGAATTATTTTGGCAAATCCTGAGCTTGCTGTATCATAATATTATTTCATTGACCCATTATCCTTCAGGGAACTGGAGTGGCTACTGTATGTGTTCCGGGAGCTGTCACAAGGCAGTTAGGAGAACACATCAAAATTGAGTGTGTGATGTTTAGATATTCACTTGGACTTGCCTAGCTGTAAAATTGTTTCTATAAAGGGACAAGTGAATAGTGAATTGTAACTCATACTTGAGTGAGTTCTCTGCTTGGCCTAGTAACATGGCTTTAGACAAACATATATGTTCGTCAGCACGTTATCTGCCTTACAGTCCGCTGTACTTGTGAGCTCGTTCATGCAGCCAGCACCCGTCAGTCATGCATTTGTGGAATGCCTGGTGGGGGCACGGAGAGGAGGGCACAGCCTGCAGGCCTGGAGCCCCCTCTCTCCGGTGCGCCGGGAGCTTTGCAGAGGCCATGAGGGGCACAGCAGGAGGGAAGGGATGTCACCGGGGAGTTAAGGAAGTCTTTGTCAGAGGTTTACTGAAACTGGTCTTTTGACAGGTGAAGAGATAAGCACCAAAAGCAGGGTGGGAAGGGTGGCATTTTAGGCAGAGGCAGTGGTGTGACAGTGGAAGGGACACTGTTCTCTGCAGTGAGAGCACGGACTCCGTGGAGCTGGCAGCCAGGAAGGTGTGCTGGGCCCGACCCACGCAGTGGGGAGCCAGGGAAGGTTTCCAACTAAAGTTAAGATGATCACATTTATTCCAACCCTTCCCCCATTATGTAAATACTTGCATAATAACAGCAGCACACGTTTATTGTAGAGAATAAAAACAAAAACATCGAGGCATAGAAAGTCCCTATTTCCCAGAAACCGTTAATGAGAAATCTGTTTGAGAGAGAAGACACGGGGAGAAACTGGCTCCTGAGACCAGCTAACAGACTGCCCGCTAGTTCCAGTCGAGGAGTGATGGAGGCCTGACCCGGGGGTAGAGAGGAACAGACAGGCTCAAATCCGATTGTTCACCATCTGAGAATAAGGAGAAATGGGCGCACACTGAATTCTATGTCAGAGGAGAAAGAAGTAGTCAGGGGATGTCGAAATGGCTGGCAGTGTTGCAAAGGTAAAGAACACAGTGAAACCAGCTTTAGGGCCAAAAGCGTGAAGTCTTGGTGGGGCTGAGCCCTGTGAGTCCATTGGGGCCTGTTGTGGGCTTTTTAGAGTATACTGCCCGGTGCCGGAATTCCCTGGATGCAGAGGCTGTGCGCAGGTAAGGCCAGACCGCCCTCCGGAGAGGCCTGAGCACTGCACTCTCACCAGAGCGTGTTCCCACACACCGCAGTGCACGTTCGGGACCTTTCAGCGTTCGAGCTGCGCTGGTGAAGGAGCATCAGAGCCCATGAGAAACGGGCCGCGCTGCACCTGTAAGCGTCCGTCAGCGAGCCGGTGCTTAGCCTGTCAGAGCACCTGAAACTCCGTTCGTCTGTGGGTCTGTTTCTCCATCGCGTGTGATGTGGACTATGGGGCCAATTCCTTTATTGTGAGTTAATTTCGCCTCTCTAAGTGCCAGACCACAGCACTGCCTTTATGAATATCTCCACTCCCCTAGTCCATTTTCATGCAAAGGGATATTAAAACCTCTCGTCCAGCATTCTTGTTAATCAGATAGTTTTAGTTATAGAAACATTAGTGCCTGTGTGCTGCAAAGCCCAGACAGGTGAATTGTTCAGCTGTCCTAGGCCTCTGATCAATATCTGAGTTTCCCCTTTTAGTTTGTGCCCATTTTTCTCTTTTCTTTTAATACAGCCCTACTGATAATCTAGGTCCCCCCTGTGCCTGCTCTACCCTGTCCTGAGTAGTTCTCACTTTCATCCTTCTGAAGCCCATCTATCTTCTTGGCAAATCCCCACAAGATGGGTTTTTGTTCTGTTTATCTTGTGACAATGAGATTTTCCCCTAAAATTATTTTCTACCAGCTACAAAGGAGCCTACAGGGGCAGACCTGCGGCCTGGGTAGGAAAGACGCAGGAGCCGGAGGGCGGGAACAGGCAGGAACCCCGGGAGGCCGCGTGCTCTCGGCATTGCGGTGCTCTCGCGTTGCTGTGCTCTCGGCGTTGCTGTTGCTCTCGGCGTTGCTGTTGCTCTCGCGTTGCTGTTGCTCTTGGCGTTGCTGTGCCCTCGCGTTGCTGTTGCTCTCGGCGTTGCTGTGCCCTCGCGTTGCTGTTGCTCTCGGCGTTGCTGTTGCTCTCGCGTTGCTGTTGCTCTCGGCGTTGCTGTGCCCTCGCGTTGCTGTTGCTCTCGGCGTTGCTGTGCTCCCGCGTTGCTGTGCTCTCGGCGTTGCTGTGCTCCCGCGTTGCTGCTCTCGGCGTTGTTGTGCCCTCGCGTTGCTGCTCTCGGCGTTGCTGTGCCCTCGGCGTTGCTGTGCCCTCGGCGTTGCTGTGCCCTGGCGTTGCTGTGCTCTCGCGTTGCTGTGCTCTCGCGTTGCTGTGCTCTCGCGTTGCTGCTCTTGGCGTTGCTGTGCCCTCGGCGTTGCTGTGCTCTCGCGTTGTTGTGCTCTCGGCGTTGCTGTGCTCTCGGCGTTGCTGTGCCCTCGGCGTTGCTGTGCTCTCGCGTTGTTGTGCTCTTGGCGTTGTTGTACTCTCGCGTTGCTGTGCTCTCGGCGTTGCTGTGCTCTCGGCGTTGTTGTGCTCTCGGCGTTGTTGTACTCTCGTGTTGTGCTCTCGGCGTTGCTGTGCCCTCGGCGTTGCTGTGCCCTGGCGTTGCTGTGCTCTCGCGTTGCTGTGCTCTCGCGTTGCTGTGCTCTCGCGTTGCTGTGCTCTCGCGTTGCTGCTCTTGGCGTTGCTGTGCCCTCGGCGTTGCTGTGCTCTCGCGTTGTTGTGCTCTCGGCGTTGCTGTGCTCTCGGCGTTGCTGTGCCCTCGGCGTTGCTGTGCTCTCGCGTTGCTGTGCTCTCGCGTTGTTGTGCTCTCGGCGTTGTTGTACTCTTGTGTTGTGCTCTCGGCGTTGTTGTACTCTCGCGTTGCTGTGCTCTCGGCGTTGCTGTGCTCTCGGCGTTGCTGTGCTCTCGCGTTGCTGTGCTCTCGCGTTGCTGTGCTCTCGCGTTGCTGCTCTTGGCGTTGCTGTGCCCTCGGCGTTGCTGTGCTCTCGCGTTGTTGTGCTCTCGGCGTTGCTGTGCTCTCGGCGTTGCTGTGCCCTCGGCGTTGCTGTGCTCTCGCGTTGCTGTGCTCTCGCGTTGTTGTGCTCTTGGCGTTGTTGTGCTCTCGGCGTTGTTGTACTCTCGCGTTGCTGTGCTCTCGGCGTTGCTGTGCTCTCGGCGTTGTTGTACTCTCGTGTTGTGCTCTCGGCGTTGCTGTGCTCTCGGCGTTGCTGTGCTCTCGCGTTGCTGTGCTCTCGGCGTTGCTGTGCTCTCGCGTTGCTGTGCTCTCGGCGTTGTTGTACTCTCGTGTTGTGCTCTCGGCGTTGCTGTGCTCTCGCGTTGCTGTGCTCTCGGCGTTGTTGTGCTCTCGCGTTGTGCTCTCGGCGGTGTGCTCTGCCCCGGAGACGGCTGCTTCCCCGTCACTGCGACGAGTTCCCCTGGAGCAGCGGCTGTGGAGCGGCCGGCAGCCCCGCTCGGAGCCGCGTGCAGAGGGGGAAGCGCGCTGGCTTTCATGTGGCAGTCTCCACTCAGCCCTGTCTGATCTTCTGCCATGGCTCCTTCTCACGCAGCCCAGACGGGACAAGTTCCTACAGGTGCGCGGCGCAAGTACATGGCGAGGAACCCAGATTTATATGCCTAGTGTGGAGGAAATAGGTCATTCTTAAAAGAGTAGTAATTTCCCACAATTTACTTGAAAAGTCTTTTTCTTCCCAAATTAGTGTTTTCTGTGTACCACCTTGTCTCAGTGGCTCCATGGTTATTCACCGTCCCTGTTAACTTTGAAACTTCTGAGTTTATGGTTCTGCAAGGAGCAGAAAGGAAATGAGCAGGTCGTGGAATCTGCTTAGGCCGACATAATTCACACGCAAGGCGGGCCGGTTACCTGTCATTGGATTCTTGCCTTAAAAAAAAGCCAAAGTCAGTTTCATTCCATGCAGTTTGTCGTGTGGAAGCTTGTCATTTAGAATCCTTAATTTCCTGAACAAAACTTTATAAATCAAATGTGGTCTGTCACAAGCCTGGAAACAAGAAGTCCTTGCATTGGAATCTGGGTTTTCAACCTGAATCCTGTGTCGCCTGGGGCAGGTCATTTAATATCTTCCCGCCCTTTTCGCCATCTATAAAGGATAAATACTTCTGTCTCAAGGATGTTGAAAGGATTAATTAGTTAGTCTGTAAAGCACTTTAAAGATGAAAAGTACTTTAAAAGTGCTTCTTAATAACATTATTGCTTAGAAAAGAGTGCCACTTTTATGCTAACCACTTTATGTCTCAGATTATGTAAAGAAGGTGTGTGCAGTGCACTGTAGTCGTCATAAACTGGAGCCCGGTCTCTCACGGTGCGGACATCAAACATGAGCTTGACTTTCAAAGGCGCATCTCCGTGTCCTGTGGGTCTTCAGGAGCTGGGCTGTACTCGGTCATTAGTCCCAGATCGGAGCGGACTCAGGAAAAGAAGACCCTTTCACACAGCTCGCCCCTTTTTTATTCAGCCAGGTTTTCAGTATTAAGTTTAAAAGGGTACATTCAACTTTAAGTTGGTACAAGGAGGGTTGGAAGGGGAAGTGTGTTTTCTTTATTTTGCGGAGGGAGCAGAATGGGAGAACCATACTTTTTTTTCTTCCTTCTCTTCCGGTTTTATCACTGGAATGGGGATGTGAAGGTGTTGCTTCAGCCTTTTCCAGAAGGATTAGTGCTGACACTAAAAATGTTTGAAAGTGTCTATTTTTAGGCTTAATCCCGTTTTTCCCTCTAAACCAAGTTAACAAAAAGGGCCAATGTTTTGATTGTCCAATAAAACATTATAACAACATGCAATAAAGTGTTACATATCTGGAACGAAATTCACAATTAGCATCTGGATTGTAAGGAGGCGATGGGAGGTTGTTCATTAGCAGGTGACCGTGAATTGCAGAGCACAGCAGCCACAGCAGGGACACAGGTCACACAGAGGACCCAGAGGAGTTTGGGGAAATCAATGAAGAACTGAAATGAGATTTAAGTTTTGGGTGGAGTATGAGGAAGTCATTCAGGGTACTTGGGGCTGAATCGGCTGGAATTCGCCATCAGTATAGCTGTTGTTTGTCGCCATCAGTATAGCTGTTGTTTGAATCATGTGGACGGACGATTTACAGAGCAGGGGTGGTGAGTGCGGCTCAGATGCAGATCTGGTGAAGGGAAAGTCAGACTTCTCCGCCTGGAGGGCTTAATTTGTGTTCACTCCTTTGTAGAAGGCGAAGGAGTTGCTGACATGCATACCAACCTTGTGTGTGGTTTAGATATAAAATGCTGTAGGGCATAAGGGCCACTGACCACTGCACTAAATTACAGGCTTCAGAAAGGTGCTGTAGTAAGATAAGTAGCAACCATTGAAATATTTGGAACCACCACTTAAGACACTAAATTAGTGGGTGTTCTGACAGCCGTTGCTTTCCCCGTGTGTCTGCTGAGCACAAGGCATGACCGCGGCCGTGCTGATTCTTCCCGTCACTTGTACTGAGTGAAAGCCGTTTTCTGTCTTCACCACGTGTACAAGATGTTTCTTCGTGAGATCAGTCCCAATTAAAACTTGTTTCAGATAGTAAATCAAAACATAATGCTAATTAATGTGCATCCTCTTACATTTCTTACAGTAAAACCCTAGAAGATCGGTTGAAACTTGAAGCGAAAACTGGGACGTTGAACGTATCAGACACCACAGTTGGCAGCAAGCAGTTGACATTCACATTAAAGAGGGTAAGCTCTGTAACGTCGTTGTTCAATTTGCGGACAAAAGCTGGACTCCCACGGTGCGGTGTGTGCCTCGGAGCTGCCTTCCCCGCTGTCCTGCTGAGGATGCTGTGTCTGGGGGCACGTCCCCTCAGCAGAGCCGCTCGTGGCTGAGAGCACACAGCATGGCTTTGGCAGAGCCAGGCGTGTTTCTGGTGTCCTTAGTGACCAGACAGTTCCTATTGGTTTCTGGTCACTGGGCCACCCAAGGGGTAGTGTTGTAAAGTGGAAGTCCTGGCCATCTAAGGCCATAGGAAGGCCATGACTTAAAAGACTAAGAACTGGTGCCCAGCTGGTGTGGCTCAGTGGTTGAGAGTCGTCCCATGCACTGAGAGGTCCCAGTTCGGTTCCCGGTCAGGGCACATGCCCAGGTTGTGGGCCCGATCCCCAGTAGGGGACATGCAGGAGGCAGCTGATCGATGTATCTCTCTTACATCTATGTTTCTGTTTCCATCTCCTTTCTTCTCTAAAAAAATCAATAAAAACATTTTTTTTAAAAAGCCCAAGAATCAGTGAGTCTGATACGTTCAGGGCAGTGACGTGCGGTTTGCCCAGGGACCTGTAGTCCAGAAGGCGAGTTGCTCTGCAGGGTAGGTCCTGTTCTAGACAGATCAGGCCACCACTAGTCATCTTCCTGTCTCTGGACTTGCCAATAGGACCTTTCTTTTGTGACCAGCCTCTTTCACGCACCATGTCTTCAAGGCGAATCCATGCTGTGGCATGGATCAGAACTGCATTCCTTTTCGTGACTGAGTAATGCTTCCTTCATCCATCTGTTGATGGACGTTTTAGGTTGCTTCCCCTTTTGTGGCTATTGTGAATAATGCTGCTATGAAACTGCAGGTGTACAGTTTTGCGTGGACATATGTCTTCATTTTTCTTGGGGAAGCATCTGGGAGTAGAATTGTTGGATCATCTCATAACTTTTGAGGAACTGCCAGACTGTGTTCCAAAGCGGCTGCACCATTTTACACTCCCAGCAGCAGTGTACAAAGGTTCCATTTTTTCCACACCCTGACCAACACTTGCTACTTTCCGTCTTTTTTATTGTAATCATCCTAGTGGGTGTGAAGTGGGAGCTCATTGTGGTTTTGATTTTCCCTAATGACTGATGATGTATACCATCTTTGTGGGTATGTATTGGCCATTTGTGTATTTTCTTTGGAGAAATTGTTCAGATCCTCTGCCCATTTACCTCTGATTCTTTGACAGTTCTCTCTGATGGCATCAGACTTGGCAAATGATGAGAACATTTGGGGGACAGGGGGTAGCATTTATCATCTCCTATATGTATAATAAAAAGCAAGAGCAAAAGAAAGAAGAACTTTCTCCTCGTGATGAGAACTCTTAGGGTTTACTCCCTTAACAACTCCATGTACGTCACACAGAGGAGGTGACCTGCCATCATGCTGCATGCGGTGCCCTGGTGCCCGTTTACCTGGTAACCGGAGTGTGTACTTGTCAACACCTTCCCTCCACCTCCCTTCCTCCGCCCCCGGGAGAAGCTTTTCAGGTAATGCTTGTCTCCATTAGAGCAAATATAGGTCACAGTTAGGCGAGCGTCAGAGGCATCTGTAGGGCGATTGTTCTACTTTTGAAACCTGTGTCCCTGGCAGAGTTTTCCCAGGTCACTGTCTGCATTTCCAGCCGCCAAGAAAACCTTTTGAGCTGGACATTCAGGAGTTTAATCATCAAAACCGTCAGAGTGTTTGTAAAACTGCTCAGCTCTCGCCTTCGTGTGGATTCTGCGTCAGTATTCTTCTTTTTTAAGAATTTCGGCTAAAAGTAGTGAAGTCATTTGGGGCGGGGAACGGGGCCCAGCTCTCACCTGAGCAAACGAATGCTGAGAAAAAGCCTTTTTGGCAGCCAGCCAGGAACTTGTGACTTGTCTGCCGGGCTTTTATCAGTGCTGAATGGTAGCAAATCTCTGGCTTTCGAGGGGAGTTTCAGTTTCTGAAAACAGCCGAACATTCTTTGGAAGCAGCCCTGGTGGCTGAGCTTAGCCGTGGTGGGTCACCGTGCGCTGCAGTGCACGTGCGTGTCTTCTGGTTTGTGTGTCGGGCAGTGTGCGTAAGTTGTGCTTGTGAGCAGAGCCAGTTCTCCGAGAAACCGGGGCCCTGCTGTGAGCAGCGGTGACTTCTGGGGGGGCCTTTAAGAGGGCCGTTCCCATGCACAGCCTCCCAGCAGGACTGCAGTGGCTGGAAAGCCAGTCTCATGCCTTGTGGTCCAGACATCTCTGTCAGGGCACGTGTCCTGCCAAGGGGTTTAGAACTTCCTGTGTGACAGCGACAGTGGGCCCTTGTCCTGCTGCGGCTGCCAGGGCAGCGCTCGTCAGAGCAGAGTCTGGCACTGGGCCGGGTGCCCTGGGGCCTGTGGTCCTGCGGCAGGGCTGTGATCGGTGCTGTGGCGTTCTGTTGGCTACCAGAAGGGGTGTTGGAATTTTCTTTCTCTTTCCCTCTCATTTACTTTTCTCTTCTAGTCTGAACAGCAGAAGCAGCAGCAGGAGGCTGAGAAACTGCACCGAAAGGAGAGGAAAGCACTCCGTCGCCCAGCTGGTCACCTGAAATCCAGACACAAGAGAGGGCGGCCCTTCCACTGAGCCTGGAGGTGGCCTCGGAGGGAGCTGGCCTTCTCCGAGCTGAGACCGTCATCAGAGCACGCTGAGCACAGAAAGGGAGCACGCGTCTTCCACTCCAGGTCGATTCTTACACATCTCCAGAGGTTAAAATTCAGCAACCTGTCCCTGCGCCTTCTGGGTCAGAGCATCGTCCCCAGGGTGCAAAAGATGTTGCTCCTCCCCGTAAACATCGTCCTTTTCCAGTCCAGTCATTTCTTAATATTGTTAAATGTGTGCCATGAAATGGGAGGTTCTCCTGTGCTGAAAATCCAGGTTGATCATGTTCCAGGAGCTTTCTCCTGCGGTGCCGCCGCCACTCCCGGGCAGACCACCCGGAAGCACAGTGCCGGCTCTGCGCCTGTGCAGCCCCGTGCGTGCGCGCGTGTGCACGTGTGTGTGTCAGTTTGGGGTTTTTTAAAAAATATTTTTATACCAAGAAAAGACAGATTAATGAAACAACCTAAAACAAGAAATGGAAGCTACTTGTATTCTTTTATACTTGACACAAGATTAAGTACAGATTTCTTTTTTCTGTTTCTTAAGTGCATAGAGATAAACTGGAGAAAACATTTATAAAAATAAATACTTTCATTTGAACAGCTTCTTTGAGAAAGACTCATTCCTGGCATTAATTTGAAGATTAACTTTGGTTTCCTTAGTTTCTCAGGTATCAATATGATTTTGGAGGTGCATTTCTTTCTTTATGCACAACTGGAATGGTAACTTTGGATAGTAAATGATAGATTCTAACTTAACACCATAAGCAAAAAGGTGAATGTGTTCATTAACAAAACCAGGCTGGGCAGCCTGTAACTGACTCAGCACCTCTGAGCCCAGGTCCCTATTCAGTCCGGTCCCTCTGGTCCCCTTTTTTTTCTTCCTCTTGGCTCAGCATTGTCCTTACCTCTTCAGGCCTCCCCTCTCTTTCCCTGATGTTTTATCCCACCATGTCGCTGCTCCTCTGTACAGACTGGCTTGCTGCACAGGCAGGTACAGCATGGGGCACTTAGCCACTTCTGTGCTCTGAGAGGCAGCGTCTTTTTCCAGAAGGTGTGTGTGTGTGTGTCTCTGCAGATTTGTGTGTGTCTTCCTGTGCATATCTGTGGATTTGTATGTGTCTCTCTCTCTGTATTTGTGTGTGTTTGTGTATCTGTGTATGTACAAACACAATCACCAGAAAGACTCTGGTTACCTGGGCAGCCGGCCCAGCTTGCGTTGTGGTGCCAGTGGGCCCTCCACCTGTTCCGTCCCTGGTGCTGGTTGCTTTCCTCCTTCAGCTTCTGGTCCCTAAACCCTGCTTCATGACCCTCTGTGCGAAGGCAGGCGCTTCAGCTCAGCACGGCCGCCTCCCCGCCTCCCCGCCCTGCGGCAGGCCCGGCTCGGCGTTAAAGGGCGCTCTGGCTGGGGCTTTCCCGGGGCCCGGGGGCTGTGCGCCAAGCCTGTTTCCTGGGCTCAGGTTCGACCTGGCTTCCCTGGCCCCTCTTTCCTTCCTTGTTTGGGGGACTCCCCGGTGGTGTGGGGAGCCAGTGTGCCACGGTGTTCAGTCACTGAAGCAGAGCCCCTGGCTGGCAGTGGAGCCAGCCTGGGCAGGTGGCATCCCAGCTCTGGTGCCTGCCAGTTCTGTATGCCTGGACTGTGCAGTGAGCCTCTCTGAGTCCCACTTCGTCCCGTAAAGTGAGCCCAATACTGTGTTTTGCGAGGGTTCAAGGAGGCCCACACTCAGGGGCCTCTCGCAGAGACGGAGGCAGACAGGCTCGGGAACGCGACAGCGGCGCCCTCACCAGCCCCTCTCACCTCTGCACTGGCCCCTCCACTGCCATGTGCTTTGGTGTCGACCTTTCCCGGAGCCTGTGCTCGGGGCTCCTGAAAGGGCCGCCCCGCTGGCCTCCGACACAGCTCGTCCTTCAGGGTCGGACCCTCGCGTTGCCTTGGTGGCTTCTGCTTTAAAATGTGAGACCAGTGTTGTGCTCTGATTTTTCTGTTGCGACAGATCACTCACTAGCCCTAGGACGCGTTTCCTGGGCCTCCGCCGGGAAGGCGGGCGCGAGGTGTATGTGAATCCGCAGGAGAGGCAGCGTGGAAAACAGGGCCTGGGAGGGGGTGACTGAGTGATGACCCCTCCGAATCCCGCCCCAGATCCCCCTCTGACACCCCTGATCTGATGCCTAAATATTGTTCTACCAGCTCTTTAAAAACTGTTCTCAGCAGTTGGGGTAGTGGTTGCCTTTGGAGAAGAGGGAAATGATGGGGCAGCCAGGAGCTGGCTGGTCTCCCTCCCGCTAGCGGGAGCCCCTCTCCTGACGGGACCTTCCGCGCAGGCTCTGCTCCAGCCGAAAGTCTGGCCGCAGAATCGCTTTGTCAGTGTCCCATGGACCCATTATAGCAGGATTCCCGCCTAATCCCCTTGACGTAGCTTTCAGCCATGTAAGGTTTTTGAAAATATTTTTGTGGCCTGGCTGGTGTGTCTCAGTTGTTGAGCAGTGACCCTGCACCAAGAGGTTGCTGGTTTGATTCCCTGTCAGGACACATGCCCAGGTTGTGGGCCTGATCCGCTGTGGGGGGCATGCAGGAGGCGGCCAGTGTTCTCATCAATGTTTCTATCTCTCCCTCTCCCTTCCCCTCTCTCTCAAATCAATAAAGGGCAAAAAAAAAAAATTTTTTTTTAATTTCTTGTGGCTCTGACTGGTTTGGCTCAACGGTTAGAGCATCAACCTGCAGACCAATGAGTCACAGGTTTGATTCCGGCCAAGGGCACATACCTCGGTTGCAGTTCATTCCCGGCCCTGGTCAGATCACGCAAAAGGCAACCAGACGATGTGACTGTCACATCGATGTTTCTGTCTCTCTCCCTCTCGCCCACTCTCTCTGATGATAAATAGAAAAGTATCCTTGGGTGAGGAATTTTAAAAAAATTTTTTTAAATAAAAATACTTTTGCGTTCTATAAACAACTGTATGCACATTTTTGGGATCATACTATTTGTAATGTTCCTCATACTGTGATAGGCTGGTCCTCGACCTGGTTTTTAATAACCTGGTAATTAATAATACACAGTAGCCCTGGCCGGTTTGGCTCAGCGGTTAGAGCATCGGCCTGTGGTCCTGAGAGACCCGGGTTCGGTTCCCGCTAAGGGCATGTACCTCGGTTGCAGTTTGTCCCCGGCCCTGGTTGGTTGTGCGGGTGGCAGCCACTCAATGTGTCTCTTTCACATCGATGTTTCTCTCTCTCTCTCTCTCTGTTCCTCTCTCTCCCTCACACTCTACCTGAACAAAAAATGGAAAAATGTCCTCGGGTGAGGATAAAAAATAATAATAATACACAGTAGACATTTTTTCAAGTCTGTGTATATATAGATATACCTCATTCATTTGTATAGACATCAGAGTATTTTATTATATGGCTAATCCATAGTTTATTTAACTCTTCCTCTATTGCTAATTCTGCCTAAAAATCTAAAGAAGGAATCTTTAAAAAATCATTTCTGTAATAACTATAACCTATTATTTTTCAAACGAACATAGTAACCTTCTGAAACACCTATATGTAGTAAGGTCACCTCAGGATCATCTCAGTCATGTCTTTTGGTACATGGGGTTTCAAAGGAATATCAACTCTACTCGTTAGAATGCAGTTTTATTTTTTTTGTCCATGGGATCCCCCATTTGTCATAAGAGCAGAAACATATTTTGTCACATAATTGGGCAAGTCTTTTTTTGTGTGTGTGGTATGTGCCCCTAGCAGGAACCGAACCCAGGACTCTCTGGTCCACCGGCCGACACTCAGCTGCTGAGCCAAACTGGCCAGGGCAAATTGGGCAAGTCTTAATGACATTCTTTTACATACTGTTTATGGTGTTTTATTATGCCTTCAGCTCAAATTATTAAAACTCCTGAGACCGTTGTACAGTTCTCCATCTCTTGGGAACGACCCACAGCATTTATTCTCGCTGCGGTGACAAGACGGGCTTACGGGGCCAGGCAGCTGCACCCTGCCCTCGGGTGAGAGCTGGTGCCTGGCAGGGCAGGGACGGAGCATCCCCGCCGGAAGACAGCTGGGCAGCTGTGGGTGAGGAGGTGACCAGCGTAGGCTTGTTTGAAACTTAATCCTCTTCTCAAGACCCCCACTGGCTTACTCTCAGGTTAAAGCCACGTGCGCACGGCCTGCCGGGCACAGTGTGATCTGCTGTTTCTAGAATGCTCCGCCACTCTCTTAAGCCAGGGCCTTTGCAGCGGCCGTGTTCTCCGTCTGGCGTGTTCTCTCCAGCCGTCACCCTTCAGGTGAAAGCCATCCCATTTAAATCGTCACACCTGCACTGGCCGCTTCGGCTCAGCAGTCACAGCATCGGCCTGCGGACTGAAGGGTCTCAGGTTTGATTCCCGGTCGAGGGCACATACCTGGGTTGTAGGTTCGATCCCCAGCCCCGGTCAGGGTCATGCGGGAGGCAACCAAGCAGTGTTTCTCCCCCCCACCCTCTTTATCACCCCCCCCCTTCCTTCCACTCTATATCTAAAAATTAATGGAAAAATATCCTCGGGTGAAGATTAACAACAAAACATTGTCACACCCCTGCTCCCAGCATGCCCTGTGTTTTTATTGCATCTGATACCCGACAGACATCATGTGCTTTGAAAAAACTTTTTATTATGGAAAATTTCAAACATACCAAAGCAGAGAACAGTTTAATGAGCTCCCATGTACTCATCACCCAGCTTTAATAATTAACACCGAAAGCTCATCTTGTTTCATCTTTACTCCTGCCCACCAGCCCGGTTATTTGGAAATATTTTGATCCCAGACATATCATTTTATCCATAAATATTCATAGTGCGTTACCCCCCCCACCCCCACCAGGATGTGCGCTCCGTGAGGGGGGGTTGGGCTGGCTGGCTCGCTGCTGCACTTCCAGCATCTAGTGCAATACCCGGCGCCGTCGCTCTTACTAAAGACTCACCAATGACGAGGATGAGGCTGAAGATTGAACGTTGGGTTGAATACCAGCGGGTGATCCCCACTTGACAAGAGCTGTCTCAGAGGGGACAGGGAGCTGAAAGGCCCAGTTGGGGCTCGGGAGAGAATGGGGAAAGGCGACCAGAAATCGATTGCAGACGACACTTAGAAGGAGTGTGGACATGGGAACAGAAAACAAGACGTGTGAGGTCAAGAGGGTTTTCTTTCAGATGTGCTGCTGGGAATCAGCAGGAAGAGGAGAAGGGTGATGACCATTCCTGGCTGATACTCGCGTAGGTGTAGTTCTCCATCACTCGGGACAAGTGACCCCAAACTTAGTGGTTTCAAGTAACAGTCACCTAACAGTTTCCGTGGGTCAGTATTTCAGGAGCAGTTGAACGAGGTGGTTCTGACTCAAGGTCTCATGAGGGTACAATCCAGACATCAGCCAAAGCTACAGTCACCTGCAGGCTTGGCTGGAGATGGACGGCCCCCTGCCAAGCTCATGCACAGCTGCCAGCGGGCGGCCTCGGCCCTGCTACACGGGCTCTCCACAGGCTGCTGGGGTGTCCCCAGGACGTGGGCGGCGGACTTGCCCTG